TTCCTTAAACGTCTCTTTCCTTCCTTAACGGAACAAGTTGTAATTGAGATCGAGTCAACGGTCAAGTTCGAATTCTCTACGGCTTCATAATTGTTCACGTCGTACACGGTTACATGGATAGGCTTCAGACAACTAAGATGTCTTCCCCACCAAAAGCAAGCTGGATTTCAATAATTCTCCATTTTAAAAATTAAATTTCACTACAGGAATTAAGGTTATTAATAGCATAACATTATAGTGTTTTTAAATTTAATGTTATAATTGACTATAGAGAAACTATAGATAGCGTTTCCCAAAAGCTAAACGCTATGGTAGATTGAGCGCGAAAAATGTGTTGAGAATGGCGCTTAGTTTTGGTTCTATTATAGCATAGGTCAAATTAAAACGCTATTGTAGGTCTAACCGGGAAACAAAATTTTCATTGGCTCCAAATTAGGAAGAAGAAGACAAAAAAAAAAAAAAAAAAATTTCTCTCTTTCCTCCTATCGTCTCTTTTCTCTCGTCTCTCTTCATCTCTGCAAGTCGAAATCTAAAACACCATAGATCCCAATTAGTTTGATTCTTCCACTATCGATCCCTCTCAGTCTAATCTCTCTCATATCTAAACCCTAGGTCTCGATAGCCAGTTTTATTGTCTGTCTACAACTTTCTTAATCTTCACCTGCATCAATCCAAATCAAATTGATACATAAGGTAAAATATATGTATGGGTGTTCTTTTTTCTAAACGATTTAGTATTTATTTCATGTTGGGTTTGAAGTAATTAGGTTTTGGATTAATGTTTGGAATCGTTTTCTTCTTATGTGAGTTTGGTGATCGACTTTCAATTTGTGTTTTTGCCTAATTTTGTCTGCGTTTAGATTCAATTTCAGTTGTCTGCGAAAGCAGCGAAGTGCATCTACGATCGATTCATCTCTCTGTTCAACGGTGGCGAATCAGGTGTTCTTCCTGAATCCGTGATCTCAATCTCTGCCGTTGATCTCCGTAAGATCGGTGTCTCCGGGAGAAAAGCAAGCTACCTCCACGATCTAGCTGATAAATACAACAACGGTGTGCTCTCGGATGAATTGATCATGAAAATGAGTGATGAAGAGTTGATTGATAGATTAACATTGGTTAAAGGAATTGGAGTGTGGACTGTTCATATGTTCATGATCTTCTCGTTGCATAGACCTGATGTTTTGCCAGTGGGAGATATTGGTGTGAGGAGGTTCTGAAATTGTCAACATTGCTCAGGTCAGAGCATGTGCTTTGTCTAGTCAAATCACGAACAAGATCTGTAAAATTTGGTTTAAAGCTAATTGATATATGTTTGCTCTTTTGTTGCTTCCATCTTACAGAAGTTGTAAGAAGACTTGAAGTCTAATAAGGATGCTTATCCCTTTGATGAGGTAAAATCTCATTCTTCATTGAGATAGTCATATTCGTTTTTGTGTATTCTTTAAAAATCATGATCGACACTTCTAATTTGATAGAGAGGAGAGTTTAGAGTTGATGTTACATGTTCTCAAAATCTTTATATTTCCCAACAAGAAAGAAACTTAGAAATCTCAATCGCTTTTGGCAGATTATCTATTGCAATATTGGTAATCCTCACCCTCTTGGTCAGCTACCTATAAAGTTCTTCCGAGAGGTAAGCGAACATTTTTGGTGCTTCTTTGTTATGTCGTCATTTCAGCCCCAGAGATATAACTTCTTCATTTTTTGGTCAAGATATAACTTCTATCATCTATATATCTCAGGTTCTTGCGTTGTGTGATCACACAAGCCTCTTGGACGAGTCTGAAACACATGGTTTGTTCAGGTATTGACGCCATTCTGAGGTTTTCCTTCAGCTATATACTTTAGCTTTAGGACATGTAATGGTTTAAGATTGCTTCACATTTGATTTCTACTCCGCTATCAGTACCGACGCAATTGACCGAGCCTGGAAGATTTTGGATCAAATTCCCGGAAGAGCAAGTGGTGCTTACAGTCACAGCCAGGTTTGTCATCAGAGTCTAGTTAAAAGTCATAAACCCTTCTTTGTATATGACCATTATGTTGCTGAATGATTCCTTTTTCTTCTGCCTCAGGGTATCAAGGGATTACGTGATACAATTGCAGCCGCAATTGAAGCTCGTGATGGTGATACAATTGCAGCTGCAACTGAAGCTCGTGATGGTTTCCCCGCTGATCCAAACGATCTTTTCTTGACCGATGGTGCAAGTCCAGCGGTAACAGTCATAACAAAAACATTTTCTCATAGTATTAGAACAAGTCCTTAAAAAGGGTACATGCTAAATTAATTTTTTTTCTCCCTTCATTCTATAGGTTCACATGATGATGCAACTTCTCATAAGCTCAGAGAAAGATGGAATTCTCTGCCTGATTCCTCAGAATCCATTGTATTCTGCTTCAATTACCCTCCATGGTGGATCTCTGGTATGTTCATCTAATCAAAATATGGAATGATGTTGGTACACTTTTTTTTGTCATTTTTCTTTATCTTGATCATTGTTTTTCTGTTTAGGTTCCGTACTATCTTGATGAAGCAACAGGATGGGGACTGGAAATATCTAACGTTAAGAAGCAACTGGAGGAAGCTAGGTCGAAGGGCATCACTGTAAGAGCCTTGGTTGTCATAAACCCCGGTAACCCAACAGGGCAGGTAATATCAGATCTTCAAGACTTAGACTTGACGGTTTTGTGTTGACAGGTTACTATGGAGAATGTGGAAAAAGAGGAGGTTACATGGAGGTTACCGGATTCACTCCTGATGTCAGAGAACAAATATACAAAATGGCTTCTATTAATCTTTGTTCTAACATCTCTGGTCAAATTCTTGCTAGCCTTATCATGAGCCCACCCAAGGTAACACAATACAGTTCTCTTCTAACAGGTTTTCGATTATGTTATTGCAACAGATAAATGACTAATCAGTCTCTTATATATTTGATCAGCCTGGTGATGACTCATATGACTCATACATGGCCGAAAGAGATGGGATTCTCTCGTCAATGGCTAGACGTGCAAAGGTTAGCTAAAGTGTGGAGGCCAAATTCAGAAGTGCGATTCATCGCGATGCACAAGGCACAACTGTTGCTTGGCCTAATGACAAGATAGTTTATCTCTGAAACTTCTTAAGTACTAAGTTTTTTTCCTTTATGTCAAACAATTTGTTGTTTTAAGTGTCGAACACTTTGTGTTTTCTTTTATATACATGCACTTGACTTTGTTTTCTCATGTTACTAATTATATGTTATCTCTGGCAAAAATATATTAAACACAAAAACACATACTTAAAACATTTTAATTGGAAAAAATTGAATTAATTATTTTAAGGCATGTACTTTAGGTTTCAAGTTAAATGATTTTAAATATTTTAAAGATTTTTAAAATGATTTTCGAATTTTGTAAAAAAAAGTTAAAAAATAAAAGTAAATATAAACAAATATAACCAAATAGCTCAAGACATAAATATTTAATTATAATATTAATAATTATATAAATAATAACAAAGTTATAAATTTAAAGAGTTTAGGGTATAGGGTTTAGGGTTTATGGTATGAAATGTATGGTTTAGGTTTTTCGATTATATTTGTTTCAAATAGTAATAATATTAATTATAACAAATAATAACATCAATAATATTCATAATTAAAAATAGTTTAGGGTATAGGATTTAGGGTTTGAAAAAACTATAAAATCTACCACTTATTCCCAATTCCTTTCAAAATCTACCACATTTCTTTCCTTCTTTCAACTCATACCACATTTTGATGTAGAGTTACCATTTTGCCCTCCCTGTTTATCTTTCCAATTTATCTCTCCTTCCTATTTATTTCCCTTCCCTATTTATCTTTCCCTCACTCTCGAAACACGTGCACTTTAACCCAGAAACATTATATCTCTTGAGACTAAACAATTAACTTTCGTTTTTGTCTCCATATCTTGTCTCCGATTGAAAATTATCTGTTGCGTCTAGATCTTGTCCCCGATTTCATCATCTTTCTATTATCATGAATCTCATATCTTGTCCACCAATAGTTCTCATTTAAGGGTTTCGAATTTTATTTAGATTTTTCACCATCTATTTTGGTCCACAGATTAGTTGAGCATTATTGTCTTCACCTACCCGGATTATTGAATTTTTTTTCCTTTGATTGCAAAATAACAAAATGATCCAGTTGTCCCCGAGTACTATTACTCATTCGAATATGAACTTGTCTCCGATCGAATTCTATTACTCATTCGATCTGAACTTGTCTCCGATCTAATTCTATTACTCATTCGATATGAACTTGTCTCCGATATAATTCTATTACTCATTCGATCTGAACTTGTCTCCGATCTAATTCTATTACCCATTCGATCTGAACTTGTCTTCGATCTAATTCTATTACCCATTCTATCTGAATTTGTCTCCGATCTAATTATATTTACTCATTCGTTCTAAACTTGTCCCCATATAACATATTATATAAATAAAATTATATGCAATTGTAAACGTGCAACATTTATTGCAACTTGTCCTTTTATCTGACACAGCAGTCTGTCCCTTTATCTGACACACCAGTCTATCACCATCAAGGACAATTTCGTCCACAATTTGCATGTGGCAATGAAATGTGATAGATTTTAAAAACTCTTTCCAAATGTGGTAGATTTTGAAAGCCATTTTTTAAAAAGTGGTACATTTTGCAAGATTCCCTTAGGGTTTAGTGTTTTAAATAGTAGCTAATATTAATAATATAAAGTATACTATTATAACATAAATGAATTCTATCATTTTGTTAATTATAACATCATTAATGTGTTTCAACAATATGATTTACACAATAAGAAGATTAGTGTACATGTATTCTAAGGCAATCATATGTGTTTCCTTCAAATTTCTAAAAACGTTGCAAAATATTTTTTTAAAATTGCGAAAAAATTATCTAATCATGTAAATAACTCATAAACATATTAATTCGTCAATATATAAATTTTTAAAAATTATATAAATAGTAAAAACACATTTTTATGCATATAAACAAAATAAGCCAATCATAATGTTTCACTCGGATTGCTGATGTGGCGAGATCTCAGCCATTCATCGGATCTAAGACAAGATCAATTTACTCAAGCCAATCAATAAGTTATACTCGGATACATGACGTGGCGACATCTTATCCGTTCAGAGGCTTTGGCGGTTGCATGTTTAAGGTAATCTCATCCGTTCATCGCCTAACTAAGTGTTTGGCGAGATTCTCTTCAACCTCTCATCCGTTCTTCACCATTTTCTCTTGAGAACAAAATTCACAAGAAAATTAATTCAGATTAGGTCCGATGATTCAGAAAAAAATTCTCGCATCCTACTTCTTCAAACCTCAAATTCATTGCCATCTCCGACTCGAATCTGAGAGAACCAAAGAAGAAGACGAAGAAGAAGAATGGTCTGTCGAAGGTACTATAATTTCACCTCTCTTCCTTTCTAGCAGTGCAAGCATGACATCTCTACCGTTGATTGTCAGCCTTCTGGTCCCGCTTCCGGTATGCTTGTTTTCGTCTCCGGTAATCTCCAGCTCGCCGGCGAAGAGCACGCTCTTAAGTTCAGCCAGGTCTGTGTGTTGACTCTTTATCCTATGAGTTGGATAACAGAATCAGCTGCAAGCCACCTCGTACCAGCCAAGTTAAAAGCTCCATTATTAGCAATGTTGAGATCAAGCTGGGCATGTAATGCGTTAAAGTGATCCACCAGATTTGTGTACTCCACACTGTTTAGAAGTGCTAGACCCGGATTGATAAAAGCGATGACACGAGTCATGGCCAAAATGCGCAAGATCCTTCTCATCTGAAAAAAAAAAAAATGTCAAAAAGTAATCAAATAGAGACTAAATTACAGATTGAAAAGCAAATAAACAAATACCTCATCAACAACAAATAAAATATGTGGGTGATGATCATATAGGAAATGGCCAATGATCTCCCTGTAATCAAGCATATCTAATATTCGTTGATTCAAATCTGTGATAGCATTCAAGACCTCATTGACTTCGTTAGTCTGGTTGATATAATGTTGAGTCCACTCAGTGTTGTCAGCACACCAAGCAGGAAAATGATCTGGAAATGCACCGCACTAAAAAAAAGAAAAGAAGCAATATGATAAATACAATAGCAAAAATTATACAGAAGTATTTAATATTCAAAAGAAAAAAAAAAGTAACCAACATACCACAGCACAGTAGGTCTCGTTACAGACTACACAATGTGCATAATAGACGCTCCCATGTACAGAAACTGAGCAAGAAGGCTTACTAGTCTTTATAGAGAGATCAGTTAAATTCCCTGAGTTTCTTCATTCTCATCATACACATATATGCCATTCGTCGGTGTATAAACCGATCTAGAGATGAAGATGTCGTTACACCATTTATTATAAAAAATTTTGTTGAATTTTTTTTTAATTTACATTAATCGAAAAAAATAATATAAAAATCAGAAATCAAAAGATTTAAAAAAAAAAAAAAAAAAGAAACAAAACATATAGTCATATAAAACGGTGAGAGTTGCTTTGCTAAAAAAAATAAAAAAAGGTGAGAGTTGATTTATTTATTCCAAAAAAAGTTGGTTAATGTCTTGAAAATGAGATTGTACATATAAGTGAGCTAACATGTTTTTTTGAAAAAGGAGTTAAAAGCTCAAATTAAAAAAAAAATCTGGATAATTTTACCCAAAAAAAAAAAAAAATTCTGGATAAGCTCTTAATTAAACAAATAAATAAATAGTAACAACGGTTGAGAATTAAAAAATAATTACAATTGGTGAGAATAAATGGGCCTCAATTGGGCCAAAACAAAAAAAAAATGAGCACGTGGAAGAAAAGGGAATAAGTAAGTAGTCGTCTTCTTCGTTTTGGATTTGGCCGGAAACTAAGAACAAACCGATTCAGCCGTTTGGAATAATCAATAATGAGGACGATTTCCGATCTTCCTGAGGATTTGGTAGCGGAGGAGATATTGTCTAGGGTTCCATTGAGTTGTTCGAGATCAGTGCGATCTACTTGCAAAAAGTGGAACGCTTCATCTAAAAATCGGATTCTTGGTAAAAAAGCAAAGAGGCAGTTTATGGGATTCTTGATGATGGATCATAAAATTTGTTTTATGAACTTGGATCTCCAAGGAATCCATAAAAGCTTGGTTAATCCATCATCTATAAAGCAAGTAAGTATATTTGATCAAATCGATGTAGCTACCAGCTACGGTCTTTCAGTGTGAAGGGTTATTGCTATGCGTCCTTGAGGACAACTCGAGGCTTTTGGTATGGAATCCGGGAAACAAAGTGGATCCAACCGAGAGATAAATCACGCGGGCAAGACGCGTATGCTCTCGGATATGACAAGAAGAAGCGTACCCACAAAATCTTGAGGAATTTCGATTTTCCTCTAAGCGGAAGAGAGTATGTTATAGTATACGAAATCTACGATTTTAGCTCTAATTCATGGAAGGTTCTTGATGTCCCTACGGACGACTGCCATATATCTTCTCATATCAACGGCGCGTCTTTGAAGGGAAACACTTATATTCTTGCAAGGAAACACGGAGTAACCAAAATACTTGAAGATCTTTTGCTATGTTTTGATTTTACAACAGAGAGCTTTCGGCCTCTGCCTCTGCCGTTTCGCGACACTTTCAGTGATGGAGGAGATTTTGTGTCTCTATCTTGTGTTAAAGAAGAACAGCTCGCGGTCTTATATCAACGCTATTGGAACCCACCTACGGCAATCGAGATCTTTGTTACGAATAAGATTGATGATCTAAATGCGGTGTCGTGGATCAAGTTTTTAAAACTGTCCACCAGTTTTTACGGTCTGTGTTTGTCTGGGAGTTTTTTCATTGACCAAGAGAAGAAAGTTGCTGTGGTTTTCGATCTAGAGTTACCTACCAATGACAACAGTCGTCGTCGTCGTCGCTACCAAACAGCTCACATCATTGGAGAAGATGGATACTTGAAATCTGTTACTATCAGAGGAGCTCCGCGTACCTGGTCATCTGACAGAATTGAACATTATACGAAACAATCTTGTGTCCCACTTGTGTGCCCTTCATACGTTCCAAGCTTGGTGCGACTTCAAATAAACAAACCCAGTCGGGCAAATGGAGAGAAAGTGATTATTATTAACCGTTAAGTTCCATTTACGACAATACGTTATTCTCTTGAACAACTTATTATTAGTTTTTGTTTGCTATCTGTATTTATCATCTGATGAATTGGCTTTTGCATGTTTTAGCTTCTTTTTAATTGTTCATAAGTACTTATGTACAATTCATAACTCACTTGTGATGTAATATTATCATACAGTACACTGAAGCTTTATTCCCTTGTGGTAATCATTACCAACAGTTTTATGCTCTGTTTTCAATTACAAAGATGCTTATGGTGATTGGTGTTGAATGTGTCAAACATATCTAACAGACAAAACGAAGAATGATAGCTAAATACTTATGTTACCTTACTACTTCATCAATGCCTCAACTGCTTTGTGTAAAGCACTATTACGATATTTAAACAGCGAATGAGGTCCGTTCCACACGGAATTGTGATTGTCGTCCTTAGGGAAGAGAGTTTCACAGAGACTTAGAAGCTGCGGGTTTCTGACTTCGAACTTTTCTTGCATCTTCATTCTCCATTCTTTACGCTCCAACTCCTGCCGTTTCTGCGATAACGAAATAACACCAATTTACCTCAATCGTGCTTATTGCTTAATCAAAACGTTATAAAGCTTCAAACCAATGTTTCTCTGTTGTATATAGGTAAACGAGAGCCAATAGAAAGAGTAGATACCTTTTGCTCTTGGAGTTGTTTTTCCTTCTCTTCCTCATCTTTATGAGTCGATTTTGGACCTTCAATGGATGCTAAAACAACCAATTTCTCTGCAGCACTAGTCACACGCTCATCGCCAGTCTCTTCCGTTACTCTATCAATCGAATGAGTCTTATCCTCTACATTAGCTTTGGTTTTATTTTCACTCTCCACTTCAACATTTTCCTCTTCCTCCACCTCTTGTTTATCTTCATTCACTCTTTGTCTCTTTGACACCGGACTATCTAGTTCCACGATTTCGGTTTTGTTGTCAACATCAATATCCATGTCCTGCTCCTCACCCATGTTTATTGATGAATTATCCACAGACGGACTTCCCGCAGGTGAAGATTCCTTCAACAGAGATATCAAAGTTAAAATTTGTTGCAAAGTTTACACATTGCAGCCGTCTGAAGTCAAAACCGGAGTTGTGTGTGGGTTCTCTTTGCACATAAACACTTGCACACCAAGAGATATATGTGTGCGTTTTGTAAACAAAACACACTACTAACCTCTTGTGCTCCAGAATGTCCTTGAGAATCTCGTTCACGTTCTCTTTTACGTCGCTTCAAAACACATATCGCACACATGCAATCACTCTTGTGGTGCCTTCTGCAAACGAAAATGATGACTATTTAATGAAACCTAATCCGAATCCCACTTTTGGAGGGCACAAGAAGGGCACAAGCTCTATAGTAACCATCAGTAAAAAAAGAATGGAAATACATTTTGGCAAAAGAGAAAACCAAATTCAGCTACACAATGTCTGCTTAATGACCATTGACTAAGACTGGCTATGGTTAAGCAGATCTTGTTACAGTAGCTTTGTAAAAGATAACCTCTTGGCTATAACCTAGAAGATTTATGAGACACGGTTGAAACCAAACTCAGGCTAAGGTTGACCACAAGTACACACATTTGAATATGAGGCCCTATGTATCAGAGGAAAAAACGTTTCAGCGACATACCCATGGCGTTTATGGCTCTTCTGCTTGGATTGACTGCCTTTGGTGGATGACTTCCCACCATCCTCTGTATTTTCTGCTGATAACCAAAGAAACCAAATAAGCTAATTTGTAAAACACAGTTACTCAGACCAAAACACATAGCTAATAGTTACATTGCAAATAGTGTATCGCTCCACATATTGGCATTTTCTCCTGATAGTTTTCTTTCGCATAGAATTCTTTTTTTTTTTTTAATGGCCACATGCACTTCCTACATATGGGTCTACACATCTTTTAAAATTGAAATTCATAAGAGAATCGAAACTGATTAGCCATGCAAACTAGACGTAAAGCGGTAATCATAACCAAAGGCTTACATGCCCAATCATTCGAGATTAACTCATCCGCGCGTCTAACAGCTTTGAATGGATCTATTAATAAATTAAGTTTGTTTTTCTTATACTTTTATTACTAAAATGAGGCCATATGAATTTCAACAATGACATTTCATTAGCTAAAATCAGCAATGACCCTTGTCAGACACACATGGTGATTCAAAAGCAGAAGCTTCTGAATATGTTCAAGTGTCAACTATATAAGCCTAAGGGGAACCAGAAGCATAACTATCTATGGAGAGAGCTGTAGCTACCAATTTAACAATGCTTCAGCGTTCAGCCCAAAAGTCAAAAGCTGGAGAAGATAAATTTGGTAATACCTGCTGATTCAGTGTACAACCCTGCTGCAGTCCAGTACTTCATGAAATTTTTCTTTACTCGCTTCATCAAATCCACAATATAATCACCTTTCTTATTGTACTTAGAACAGTTATTCCAAATGTACTGGACATCCTTGTAAACGTCCTCAGAATTCATATACTTGTTGCTTTTTTCAAAATTATTGCATATTGTTCCAAAATCCATAGGTGTCTTGATAATTTCGAAATAGTCCTAATACCAAGACCAGAAAACAGGTAGACTGTGTTAGTTAACAATTCTGAAACCCCTTTACAAGCAAGGAGCAAAGAATAGATGGGAAAAGTATAGGAGAAAATATCCCATATTACTGTCTAGCGACCGGGACAAGAAAGTCATACTACAATTCATTATCCATCTCTGTTAAGAGTCTAAGTTTGTCAAAAATTATAAGATGACAGAGTCAAGATATTCCTAATTAGGTGATAAGAGGGTACTGTTCGTCTTTGGTAGACAAATGTAAGTTAATCCATATGAACTGAAAATTTATATCCCTCAAGGACAGAGACAGACAAAAATCTCTGTATACTAATACAGCCAATCTGGTCCACTTACACACATTTTAAAAGAGTATCCTTCCCTTCTCCACATACGGAAAGAGAAAGATGAGACCCATACGCTGAGCTAACTAATAGGACTGGTTCATGTACTATAGCATTTCTAGGTCTTATCAACTGAGACCAAACTGATTCTACGTTTGTTCACAAGCAGAGTAATAAGGCTTTGCAAAAATATATAGAGTTTTTTACCTAGGAAGTTCAACATAAGCATGTGATGGAGATATGTGAGATGTATATTAATAGTTGAGTTTTCAGAAGCCAAGCTTAATATGTACCAAAACAGTGTGCCTCTATCTAATAAAGATGAAGCTAAAATCTGCACTTACAGGAATTCCAAGAGCTTCTGGGTTCACAGGAGCATTAAAGGGATCAGCAGCATCCATCTTCATAATCTTTTTGATCACCTATAGCAGTATGACACCAACACAAAGAAGGTAAATTAGACATGATATTCAACTCGAACTATTCGTACCTTCAAAAAGAGCAACAAATTAGGTAGATTAATCTGAGCATACTGTAAGAGAATCCTCCAGTTCTTGTTTATTGTATCGTGAATTTTGGTCAGTCTTCTTCTCCTCTTTCGGCAAAGAAATTGGTGCACTTTCTGGCTCTTTCTTACTGGCTTGAGGATTCTCATCCAGCGTTTTTGTATCCTTTTGAGGTGCATTTGCATCCTGGGCCTTGACAGCATCAGCACTCTTCTCAGTAACCGAGCTAGATCCATCTACCGCCTTCGAAGACTTAATCTTTATACCCTTAGTTTTCCTGTAAACATTCAGAAACACTGGCTTTCTCTCAGGCAAACGCGGAGGAACCAATTCCTCCTTTTTCTCAGCAGGGACAGCAGGTTTTTCAGACCCCACTTGAGAACTAATCTTATCAATATCATCACGCCATGTCTCATCTGGTTCTGGTGCTTTTGAGGTCTTCAATTTAACCTTAACACGTCCCATTGACTTCGCCGCTACATTATCAGCTGGATCTACACTAGCAATAGGTGAATTACCAATCTCAGTAGAAGAAGGTGCATCAACCTCCATTTTAGATTCATGTTCACTATTCTCACACTCAGCAGGACCTTCAGAACTCTGCTCCGAGGTTTGATTCTCCACGTTTTCGGTTGACTCATTCAAGTTCCCTTCTTCAGTAATAGATTTGGACTTTTTAGACTTCTTCCCTTTCTTATGTCCTCTTTTACGCTTCATCTTCTCTTCGATAATCGTATAACTTCACAGAAGCTATAAGAAACTACTGCAAAAAAACAACCAAATGACTAAAAAAGCTTAAAATCTGAAACAATCACATCCGAAACCAAAAACACCAAATCATACGACAAAATGAGAAGATAAAAATCAATCGAATTGTTCCAACAAATTGCAGACAACACAACTTGCAGATAATCGTAGATCACAAATCAGAAAAGAAGCTTGAATTCAGGAACAAAAGCAGAGAGAATTTTACCAGAAAAAGGTAAACCCTAAATCAAACAAAGCTACGTCGTCGTCAAATCAGAGAAAATCGAAACAATGGCTAGAAAGCCAGAGAGTTCACCTCTTGTGCCACTAATCGATAATCGGTAACCTCTTATGTCACTGTTATGTTTTATCTTTATTTTTGAATTTCTTAAAAATCGAAAAACTGAATAAATGACCATAAAACCAAACGAATTTCTCTTATTTACGACCCAACCTAAAATCCATATTATTTATCCTAATTTGTAAAATTTCTTTAAGTTTTTCAGATCGAAAACTGTAAAAACCTAATCTCATTCTTCCCATTCTCACTCGAAACTCAAACTACTCTCGAGAAAACGAAGAGTCCGACGAATTCCGACGAATTCCGACACCACTCTCATCGGAAATCTTGCTTCTCCGGCGTATCGTCGTTTGCGTGTACTCCGTCATTCGTCTCCTCCGTCTCCTCCTCGGTAGTTTGTCTTTTCGTCTCCTCCGACTCCGTTCAGCGTGTCTTCGTCTCGTTCTTATATGGCTCGCGTGAAAGGTAGAGATAACAGGATATATGAATCAACAGAAGGGTCTCGAGAAGGGGCTGCAAATCCGGATCCAACAGAAGCTTCGACAGACGCTTCAGTTCCAACAGAAGCTTTGACGGACGCCGCAGTTCCAAAAGATGCTCCGACGGATGCCGCTTATCCAACAGAAGCTCCAATGGATGCCGCTGTAATTGGTCCAACAGTGGAATCCGCAGAAGCATCCACCGAATTAGTAGTTTTTTCGGTTCCGGAATTGTCTGATAAAGAAGAGAAAGAAGAAGTCGGTGAGCATGATAAAGAAGTCCGTGAGTTGTCAATTGATGGTCAGGGTTGTGATAACGAGGAAGAAGAGAGAGTTGTTGATTCTGAGGGTGAAGATGTTGCTGGTGATAATGAGGAGGAAGATGTTGCTGGTGTTGTGAAGGTAAGTAACAGTTTGTATTTGTTGTATATGGTGTTAAAGGTAAGCAACAGACATAGTTGTACTCAGTTGTATGTGTTTGAATATGCAGAATATAGTTGATGATATTGCTGTTGAGGAAGAGGAGGAGGAGAGGGTTAATGATGTTGCAGCTGATACAAATGAGGATGATGATGATGAGGAATCCCAACCACTGCCCCCAGAGAGCATGTACTTTAGTCCAACTGAGTACAACAAGGTATGTAAGGTAGGTAGTAGGTGTAAAGTTGGCCAAACAGTGGCCATGATAGAGGCATTTGATGAGGAAGTTAGTTGGTTTAGGAATCATGCTCAGTTTAAGCATATATTCCACATGCCTAAGGAACCAAATCACATGATTCAAGGCATGTGGATGCTTATGCTTCGCACTGCTCGCACGGGTATGGAGAATGAGTGTTGGTTTGTTGTGAATGGAGTGCCTATAAGGTACTCCTTGAAAGAGCATGCTTTGTTGACCGGGTTGGACTGCCATGAGTACCCAAGGAATCATGAGAAGAAGGGTAGTTTGAGGTTTGTCAGGAGGATGTTTGGGAGGACAGACCTAATCAAAATCAAAGATGTAGAAAAGAAGTTGGCAGCTATTAAGAGTGAGAAGTGTTTGGATAGGAAGAAGTTGATTATTTTGTTGTTTTTATGTGCGGTTGTGAAGGCTGATTCTAAGGGTGATGGGAACATAGAGCAATTCCTGTTAAGGATTGTTGATGATGTTCATGCTTGTGAAATATTCCCGTGGGGAAGGTATTCTTTTGAGCAATGTATGACAGGGATCCGGAGAATGATGAAAAACATGAAAGGTGAGGTGAAACCAAAAGCACAGAGCAGCTTTTTTGGATTCATCACTCCTCTTGAGGTAAAAACTTGTGAATATTGTAATGAGTTAGAGTGTTTAAGTTATAGTAGTAAAACTGTGTTATTGTGAATGTGTAGATTTTTGCATTTGAGTGCATACCACAGCTTGGAAGGCGATTCAGAGAAGCTGTTCCCGCAGCTAATGACTGTCCAAGAATGTGCAAATCTAAATTCACTGACAGTTGCATGAAGGGCTTTACCTTGGATGAAATAAACCAAGCCCTTGGTGAAATTAAGGTTAGCTTTTGGTGCCTTTACTTCTCTTAGTATGCATATTTATTGAGATTGATGCTATGTGTATTTGACAGGATATCTCAAGCATCTTGGAACCTGATATGGATGAGAAAGAGATGTTGTCTGGCCTTGTTGAGAAAAATGTTGATGAAGGGATGGGATTTATTGATCCAGTTGTTGAAGGTTGGAGAGAGCAGCTGATCAGAAAGAAGAAGAAAATCTGGTGGAAAAGTCTATACCAGATGGACTTGCAGGCTCGGGGTTTTGGTGATGTTGTCCCTGAAGTGGCTGAGAGGCTTGGTGATGTTAAAGAAAGTGATGGTGAAGTCCCTGAGAGGCTTGGTGATATCCTCTCATTACAGTCAGCTGTGGACAAAGGATTTGCGAAGATCATGGAGAAGTTGTCTGAGATGGATAGCAAAGTGAGTATGCTGGATGGGAGAGTGAAAGACTTAGAGGGTTATGTGTCAGTCCAGCTAGAGAAAGAGCGGTACAATGAGTATCATCCAGGGACTTCAAGTGATTTTGTGCCAACCTATTGTACACCAACTGCTAATCAACCAATAGCGAGTCCGACAAAGGCTTTGGTCCTTCACAGTGGTTTCACAGACCCTAAGCCAATCCAGATTCAAGAATTGAGTGAGTTTACATTTTTGTAGTTTTTAGTGTAACATACATGTTCTAACATTGGAGTTGTGTAGGTGATGAAGGTGATCAGGAGCAGCTGGCTAGGAAAGAGAAGGAGAACAAGAAGAAGAAAGCAGTGAGGCCGAAGCATAGTGGCCCTACAATCCAGACCGGGAAAAAGAGACAAAGGAAGGCTTCCAGGTTTCAGGCTGAACAGTTTACAGCAGAGGGGAAGGGGAAGGGGAAGAAGCGGCAGAAGAAATAGGTGATCTTTATGAGAGATCACTCTTTATGAGTAATTGCTTTTGTGTAGGACAAAACTTATATTTTCTGAGTATTTTGCGGTTATCTTTTATTAGGATTCAAAACATTGTACTATCTTTTGGTTGTGTTGTGGTTTAGGTGCATTTTTTGTATTTGGGGTTTAGGATGATTCAGAAATTATATTTTAAAAAATTATGCATCTGGTCCAACTACTAACAAACGTGGGACAACTATTAACACAAGTAGGACAACAGGAACAACTACTAAATTTTGGTTGGACCAGTTGATCCAGGGACAACTACTAATAATCCTGGGACAACAATGTGATAAACCAAGAACAACTACTATTAAAATAAATTTTAAATTTTAGTTGGACCAGTTGATCAAGGGACAACTACTAATAATCCAGGGACAACTACTAATAATCCAGGGACAACTATGTGATAAACCAAGAACAACTACTATTAAAATAAATTTTAAATTTTAGTTGGACCAGTTAATCAAGGGACAACTACTAATAATCCAGGGACAACTATATTATAAACCTGGGACAACTACTATTAAAAATACTTAGTAAATACATATAAGTCGGAGTTGTACCGGTTGAACCAAGTACAACTAGCATTACTGCAGGTACAACTACTAATAAGACTTCATGAAAACACAAATCCATATCCAAAATACAAATTCATATCCAAAATACAAATACAAAGACTAGGTGGTAATCATACAATATTATTACCAACTTGAAAGTAACCCCTTAAGCCTCGCAATCTCGACTTCTTTTGTGGCTAACCTCGCTTTAAGGGCATCAATTTCTTCACGCATAAGACGAAGAGTTTCCCGGATCGACTCCAAAGCAGGTGGAAATCCACCCCTCGCAACCTCAAGAGAGGTTAAAACGTCAAATCGTAGGTTTATCTTGGACAGCTCCTCCGTAACCGCACAATCCCACCACTGAACTAGGTGATCTCGATTAACCTTATATTCGTCTCCATCCTAGGAAGAATATAGAAAGTTCAAAACCAGCAAGTTGTACTTAGTTGTTCCAGAATTGCAACTAAACCATACCGTAAGCAATGGGCATCTATATACGCGCTCTCCTTGTCGCTGTCCTGTTATACACCGCTCAAGCTTGACCATTAAACCGCAGAAACACCTCTTGGGAACACCATAATTGGCGTCCGCATTTCGGCATCCACTGTTGATACTTTCTACGGATGTGGAGGGTTGAGAGTAACTATAAGGCATATCTACGGTTAAGAAGATGAAGCTCGGTAAGTAGATCTGACCATTCAATCAAACATAAATCAATTAAATCTTACAATTTTTTGGGTAGATCTGAAAATCTTACAAATCTCATATACCCTAATTACCAGAATTGCAGATCTACTAAACTGAAGTAGTCTAAGAGAATTGTCATACCTTATAACGGCGAGAGAAGGAAGAAAAAGAATAGATCTGAAAACCCTAATTTTTTTGGGTTTCTCGTGAAGAAGAGAGAAGAAGAAGAAGAAGAGAGAAAAGAAGAAGAAGAGATAAAGAAGAATCGAGATGTGAGAGAGAGAGAGAGAGTAGTCAAAGTAGGTAGGTGGGATCTCAAATAAATCAGATTCAAATTAAAGGAGGTGGGTCCGATTTAAGTCAAAAACTAGTCAAAAACTAGTGTGAACACATTTATGTGGGACCCCCGACAAATAGATTTTCTACATAGTTGTTTTTAGATGTCCAGTTGTCCTAATTTCCTCACAGTTGAACTATTTCAAATTTTGTAATTTTATAGTTGAACCTTAAAAATATCATAGTTATCTAGTTGTTCACATCAATTTCCACATTATATTGGTGTTTAAGAAGTTTTCATAGAATAATTTGTCAGAAAACATAGTTTCCATACTTATTTCATCTTTATAGATGAGCTTGAACTAATTGTTCCTTGTTACCTAAAGAGTGATTTGTGTAATTTTGGTTTTAGCTCACATTAATTATTGATAATGTTACATATCATATATTAAAATTATTAAATGTACTTTCAGAGTGTAAAAATGTTTTAAACTACTTATTATTGTTTGATTTATGTAATTTTGTATTTTTATATATTTAGTTGTTTCCAGTTGTATCGGTTGAACCCAGAAACCATTTTTACTAATATTGCTAAGAAATAAAATAGTTTTTATTACAAACTAGTCTTACAAATAATAATCCATATATTACAAAGCGATATTAGTCTTACAAATAAAAATACAAGTACAAAGTTGTTTAAGTCACAGTGGTTGAACCCAAATGGTTACACAGTTGTTCCGGTTGAACCCAAATGGTCCAGTTGTTCCAGTTGAACCTAAGTGGTAAAACAGTTGTACCGGCTGTACCAGGGAATTAATCAAGTTGCTTCTGGATCCTCGGGCTGCAGCCATCTCTCCAAGTTAATTCCTGGAACAGCTTTGTTACTCTTTCTCCGTTTTTCTCCAACGGATGGAAACCGTTTATCTTGATCTCGTCCTTTTTTTGGGGTGTATTCCGGCGGGTCAGCCTCCAAATCTTTAATTGGCTCGGGAATAATCCATTCTGACTCATGTGGCACTACAAACAACGTCCTGTAATATGCCAATGCCCAAGTATCTATCAAATAAAAGACGGAGCAGAGTCCATATATGCTTACATCTCCAGCTCTCCCTTCCTTGCGGGCTAGGAACCTTGCTGCGGCAATGGCATGGACACACGGGTACTTGTCTATATCAAAAGTCTTGCAAGAACAAGTTTTCATTTTCAAATCCACCAAAAAGCTTACCGAATGGAGATCAATGACGTTGTATTCTTGTCTATAACTGTTAAGCTCAACAACTTTTAACTTCGCAGCAACTGGACATCGAGCATGCAAGATGTTCTCCACAAAAGGCACAACTTGTGATGTGCTCGATGCATTACCTGAATCTTGCCTATGTTTGTTAAACCATTCAGAGAACTTCTCAACAAGGGCATCAATCATAGGTAAGAGGTCATACGTCCTCGCTTTCCTAAACACAGCGTTCATTGACTCCGCAGCATTGCTAGTGTCTATGTTGTACTTATCTCCTTGGAAATGGCACCTGGACCACTGCTCTCTCTCTCTATAGTTTTATCTAGATAGTCAGCAGCATTAGACCACCGACTCCTAAAAATACCATATTCTCTATTGAACTCACTCTCAGTATAAGCATGAGCGCAATCCATGAACTTCTTCGCAGCTCCCTCCTTATCAATCTTCGCACGGAGTCTCAGATTTTGAGACAAATGCCATATACAGTGTACATGATGCGCATTCGGGTACACCGTCATGACAGCCTTCTTGATGCTTTGATGTCTGTCACTAATAAACACCAAATCAGGAACTTCTGGATATACAGTTTTCAGCTTCTGGAAAAACCATATCCAACTATCATCCTTCTCCGCATCAATCACACCAAATGCAAGAGGGTAATGGTGATGATTAGGATCTTGAGCTGTTGCAATAACCAACATCCCGCCATATACAGTTTTGAGATGAGTTGCATCCACAATTATCACTTTCCGCATTGCCCTGAAGCCTTCAATGCTAGCGCCCAAAGCTATGAATAGGTATTTGAACTTCTTCTCTTCCAACTCGACACTTGTTACAGTCCCTCTATTTACTTTCTATAACATGTAAAGATAAGAAAACAACATCTTGTAGCTTTTTTCCGGTCCACCTCTCACTTCACTAACATGCTGCATTTTCCCTCTTAATGCAGTGGAGTATGAACAATGCACACCAAGTCTTCCTGTCACAATAGACATGATGCTTTTTGGATTTGGGGTCTGTAGACTACCTAGAAAGTCAGCATGCAAAACAGCTGCTATTAATCGTGGTGTTCCTCTTTGTACACTATTGCTTATAGACTCAACAGACCGAGAGCATGTATGGATCTTTCTATGCACTCTAACACTCCAATAATCTGATTGCTTTGTTCTCGCAACTCGTAAATACCATTTACACCCTTCAGAATATTGTTTGCATCGTAACATAAGTCTCACCGGGTCAGACTTAATAGTTAAAACCCCATAAACTTCTTGTTTTGCAGCTTTGTTTACCAATTCCCACACTGCCTCCTTAGAACAAAATTCTTGATAAAGTTCTATACCCGTACCATCTTCCCATTCTATATTCTTCGGAGTTTTTACACGATTTGGAATAGCTGGAATATCATCAAAATCACACATACCATCCACATCTTCATCCAAATGGTTATCCATCGACCTTTCCACAGCCACAACTTCCATACCTGTCACATTCTGACACACTTCATTCACCAAAACTTTATTCACATCATTCACCAAAACTTCATTCCCATCATTCTCCAAAACTTCATTCACATCATTCTCCAAAACTTCATTCACATCATTCTCCAAAACTTCATTCACATCATTCTCCAAAACTTCATTCACACCAACTGAACTTCGACGCTCCGGTACTAACATTTCCACCCTCTGGTTATTGTCACTTAATACCTCCACATGCAAAACTGGAATACGACCCTCTTCATCACATTCTGTTAAAAAAATGTATACGTCCTCATCATCTACAATATATGTCTCTCTCCGAGCTTTAGATAGATTGTAACTCAGTTTCAGATTCCCAGGGACTCCATTCTGGCCAACCTTCGTAGTGATCTTATCTAATAGCACCGAATAAGTTATCTTCTCTAAACATGCCGTCTTAAACGATATAGCGTATAGTGAATTTTTATAAATCCACTCATTCCCTTCTGAATAGTACCCTCCATAGTCAAAATGTACGTTAGTATGGCTCTTCTTCTTCATCGCCTCCTGAAATTACGATAATTTAAAACATAATTACAAACACAATTTGTCACAGTTATACTAGTTGTACCAGTTGGCCTATACAGTTGGACTATACTCTAACAGTTGTACCAGTTGACTATAGAGGGTACTATCCTGAAACTACAACAATCAAAAACAGCACATACACCATTTTCCACTGTTATACTAGTTGTACCGGTTGGCCTACATACTATCAGTTGTACCAGTTGGCCTACATACTATCAGTTGTACTAGTTAGCCTACATACTATCCGTTGTACCAGTTGACTATGGAAGGTACTATCTTCAAAATACAACAATTAAAAACAGCACATACACCATTTGAAACAAATATTCTAGTTGTACCAGTTGAATAATTAAACATAGTTGTACCGTTGGCCTATCAGTTGTACCTATTGGTCTACATACTATCAGTTGTACCAGTTGGCCTACATACTATCAGTTGTACCAGTTGGCCTATAGTCTATCAGTTGTACCAGTTGAATACTTAAACGTAGTTGTACCCTGTTGAATAACTTTCTCTTAGCTGTACCAATTGACTGAGATCTGACTCGATTCTACTTAAAATGTGACTCCATTCAACAATGTACGAGTGTAGCTCGATTCTAACATTCCCATTCGCCAATATACTATCAATTCTTCCAAAAAACCCCCAATTCTCATTCAAATCCCTAATTTTAAAGATTTCCAAAATACTCTTAAATTACCTAAAAATCTATCAATGCAACAATAAAAAGAGGATACATGAGAAGAAACTAACCGCTTTCGAGAAGGAGGACGCGACTGCAAAACCGTACGTGCAGATCGGCGGGAGCGAGCTATGGCGGAGGGAGAGAGAAATGTCGGGGTCGGAGAGGAGAGAGAGAGAGGAGAGAGAGTGGGACGAAATGAGTTTTTTAGTTTTTCTTTTTTGATTTCTTCTTTATTTCATTAAGGCTAGTTTCGAAAATTCACATTCTCGGTGGCATGCCAGATTTTTGAGTGGCATGCCAGATTTTTTTTTTCCAAAAAGTGGCATAAGTGACAATTTTTCAGAAAGCCACTTTCCCCGAATAAAAAAGCTAGAATGCCACTTTCTTGTTTGTAATTTCTTTTACCCTTTTTTTTAAAATCAAAAGTGATGGAAATGTCTAAAAAACCTTTAAGAGAATTAGTAATTACAGATCCAACCAAGACAATCCGACCCAAATTCAATAACCCACGACTTGTGAGAAAGATCAAAGAATATACGTAGACCTTAAGTTGAAGAAAATTGAAAAATACAGATCCACCGAAACTGATGTTTTGGTAGCTTACGCTGTAGAAATCAAAATCGAATCTGTGATGATGAAGATGAAGCAGACAGTTTCATCGAACTCAGAAGCACAGAGTTACAATGAATCACCACACTCTCCTCTTCGATTTCTTCTCCGTTATCAGATGCTAGAGATTTACCGGAGAGCCATTACGTTTCTCCTGAGAAATCTCCGTTCAAAATCGAGAATCCCAAGTCAACGATCGTATGATGGTAACAAGTTCATGCATTTTTTGCCTCTTTATTCTCTGATCTCGCCGCCTCCTCCTCAGTTTCCGTCGCCGCGACATCAGAGGACTGCGCGAATTCCGATGAATTCGTCTTGGGATAAAGTCTCCGTCGTCCTTTGTAGTGCACAATGTGGTCTTTGACATATGGATCAAGGTGCGTTATACACGTTTAATTTCTGAACCATTTATGGAACTAAGTGAAGCTCGTTTGATGTTCACTCATTGCATATTTGTTGCAGGGAGATAGTTGTCTTATAATTGCTTATGGTGATCAAACTGTAAGTTGTGACTCAAAGATTTTTGATTTACTTGTTTGTGAGGACAAAATGGTGACACTGACATTCTTATACGCTGGAATACAAATTAAAGTGTGAGATGTAGATGAGAATAAGTGTACTAGAGTTCTTATAGGACATGCTGGAATTGTAAAATCAATGTGTTCACATTCAATGGATTCTGGTTCATGTCGAGCATACATATGTTCCTTTTTAACTTATTTATGTTTTTGGTCAAGAGGGCTCTAACTTTTGTTGCTTACAAATCTTCTTGTATCTGGTTCAAGATGGATGTTTTGCGTTGTTGGATTTAATATGTAAAAGTAGCTCTCACAAAGAGGAATTTTGTATCAAGTAAGTCTTTAAACTTGATTGTGATGATATTTTTTTTTTTTTGTCTTTTCACTTCTTTATAACCATCTTGATAGTTGTTCTGGTCTTCACTCAGCTCTATTGGGATGGTTAAAGGATCTCATCAATCTCCTCTTTCAAAACGAATCAGACGTCGCAAGGTTTTACCTCCTTCTTAGTCCTAACTCTTCAATTCTAGTATTATATCCTATCTTATCTGCTAATGGTTCGTGTTTCCAAGCTGCTTCATCAAGCATTACCTTTGTGCTTTATTTGAAGGATGAGATCACAATTGCCACTGCTGGAGCACCAGATAAGCCTTTGTGCTTTACTCCGACATTGCTTTGATCTATAGGATAAAATGAACAAGTTTTGATTTCTTGACTTCTAAAGTAAAATGAACAAGTTTTGAGTTTTCAAGAAACCAGATTGGTGATTATTTTTGTATTTTGTCCTTGTCTATTTGTATAGGCACTTTCATATATTCGTTGTATTGGGGAATCTTAGCCAATAACGAAAGAAAGAGCTTACTTTGAAGCAACAACTTTGAGAAAGCATGGAAATTTATCTACTTTGGAGCTATAATGAGCAGAAGATTAAATAGTTGCAGCAGAGACTGAAAGATTGCGGATTTGTTTGATTGTAAACAATAGAATCATATGGTGAAAGTGAAGTTTTATGTACAACTAGATCACTTAGATACAACTGGGACAATTTTGGTATAACTTGAACTATTTGGTGCAACTGCACTATTTGATTGTTCAGATAGTTTTTTTTTTGTTTTTGGTGCAACTGACCTTTTGTTTGTATATGGTAAAGTGGATCTTTTGTTTATGTTAGTCGTTGGTTTGCTTTTGGAGTCAATCATGTCCGAGTCTTATGGAGTCTAGATAGTGGAGTTGTGGAATTGAGTCAGTTATTGTAGTGGAGTCTGTTCCTATTTTTAAGCTTCTGTCTGTTGTTTCATTTGAGTCCTTGTAAGGCTATTTAAAGCCATCTTTTTTAGGTATGGTAAAGTGGATTTTTTTTAATGTACTATGGTGGTATTTTGGTTATATTTAGGTACAACTACGTACAGGTACAACTGGTATATTTAGGTACAACTACGTGTAGGTACAACTGGTATATTTAGGTCAACTACAAGGTCCTTTCGAGTTTTTTTAAAAATAACAAATTAATTAAAATTGATATTAAAATGAATTTAAATATGACTGACGTGAAAAATAATAAAAAATTGGACCTTTGGCGGCGGGTTATTAATTTAAAATCATCACAAGTGCTGTAAAGTGGGCCAAAGATAGCAGAATATTCATAAAAAATTATTTGTTATAAACGTAGTTGTACCTAGTTGTTCAGTTATACTCTCATAGTCATAGTTGGACTTTTGCGATTTTTACGTATTTTCAGTTGGACTCTAATAAAAATTAGTAATTTTAAGTTGGACACATGAGTTTACACTATTAATTATCATTTGAGAGGTTTTCATAATACCGTTTGCACGAAATCATAATTTTCACCTCTTTTGCATCAAAATAAGTGATCACCTACAAAGTGTTCCTTATACTATAAGGAGTGTTTTATATGAAAACAATAGTATGCACTAAGAAAATGATAAATTCGAGTTTGATTTATTAAAAATTATTTCTTTATAGTTCAACATGTTTTTAGAATCCTTATTAACTCTAATTTATCGTTTTTCATAATTGTTGAATACAAATACGGATACATTTATAATCTTAGTTGTACCTTATCGAACATAAATATACCTAGTTGAACATAGTTGTATGAATACGACAAGTACATATACTGATACATATATGGTTATAGTTATGGTCTTAGTTGTATCAAGTATAGTTATGGTATTAGTTGTACCAGTCAAACCTAGTTGTACCCAGTCGAACATGGTTGTACGACAAATACAAAAGATTTTTAGTCATCAGGAATTCTTTTAATTAATAATCATTTATCTTCCATAATATTATATATTTACTTCGAAATTAAAATACTAATAACTTTTAAGAATATAATTAGTAATCAGAAACAATAAAAGCTTTATATATGAAAATGCTTAAGAAGCTTACAAATTTGATACTCACAGTATAACGTCGTTAGCAATAATAGAATAACCAAACCTAGTCTCTCTATCTAACCGACATTTAAGAAAGAACAAAGTATTTGATATAACTCAAAATTAGAGAAAAACAATCCAAATCTTGAAAATGGGCAAAGACTCAAATCTAAGCAATAACATGCATGTCCTTGAGCCACTGGTCCAATGGCTTACCAATAGAGTAAACAATAAACCCTATCTTTCCAGCTTCTCTAAATCAACAACATTCCTACCTTCAAAAACAAACGCTGGTTTCTGCATATTTTCAAAGATCTACTCATAGTCAAAGCGTCTTAAACTCGTCCCACTCGGGTTAACAAGCAGATTATTTGGACGTCTTTAGTGGCGGCACAATTTGACAATCCAAAGACAGTGATGATCCATCTTGAAATCACATCTTTGACCTGCATAAGAAAACATGGATTGAGTAAAACTTTATTTCTCTATCACTAGAAAGTGGTCACCATACAATGAGACTTGTCACTACTAAGCAAAACATAGTAGCAAATCAGATTTTACCTTACACACATTACAATGATGGGAACGAGGCAATTACAAGCAATGACTTACAGATTGAATTCATTACAAGACTAAAGTATGAATTTTGAGGTAGAATTTCCCATAAGAACTCATGATTACGAAATTGACAGTTCTCATTCCCAACATCGAATCCCACCACACTATCTAAGCGAATCAAGAAGAGATCTAAGATATAAAGTTACAAAAGCATTATGAAATTCTTGCTCTTTGAAGAGAAATCAAATCAACGAGAAGAAGGACAAATGATGAAAAAGACTATACAATGATCAGAAACTTCAAATCGTTTATGTCGATGCTCTGATGACTGAGAAAGCGTCGTCGTCATCGTCGTCGGAGCGGTGATGGTTGTTGTTGATATCCATGGCGGAAGATTGAGGAACTAAGAAAGAATCTCTCAGTTTCATCAATGGCGGAGGAGAGAGAAGAACAAACCGATTGCAAGGATGAGACGCCGAAGACGACGGCCGGCGAGAACGGTGGGCGAACCGCTCCGGTGTGGGAGGAGGGAATCGGAGGTCTCGTGAGGATGATAGAAAATTGTTTTTATGTTTTTGTTTTTCTTCTAGTTTTAATTTCTCAAAATTAATTAAATCAAAAATATTCAATAAGGGCAAAATAGAAATAACACATACTATGATGGCATACATACTCTAAAATGGCAGGTGTGATTCATTTTTCTGGTTTAGTGGCATTCTAGCCTCTGGCTCGAGAAAATCGAGAAGGTCACTCTTGTGTGAGGCAGCTGGTTGATAATCCGATTGTCATTGGTTATTTCCGGTTCAATTACTTTATTTCAGCAAACCAGGTCTCAGTGTGTTTATTAGAGGCTAGACCTATCGTATATGTATACATCCTTGGCTCATTTGGAAGAATCAATCAGTGAAATATGCTTCTCCAAAATCCCCAAACATATCTCTGTTAAAGATCTGGTAGATTCTCTCTGCTTTGCCTCATTTGTTTGGGCATTTTTAAGGTTGTTTGAATCGATTTTGATAGTTTAGTTGATTAATGATTATATAGTGGTGATTTTCACAGCACCGACTCAAAACTCTTAGAGCATAATTATTGGTAGAACTATGGCCTGGGCATAAAACTCGAAATCCGAAAACCGATCCGAAACCGATCCAAAAAATCCGGAACCGAACCCAAACCGAATAGTCACAAAATCCGAACGGATAATGAATTCTCCTATCCGAATTACCCGAACCGAACCCGATCCGAACCAAAAACCGAAAGGATATCCGAAAACCGGAAATAAAAAATTATATATCCAAAAATATTAGTTATATTTAGTTGTAATTTTATAGCAAATAACAAAAATATCCTAAATATCCTAGATTTGGGAAAGATTTTAGTTATATTTGTTAAAATTATACATATTTTTGCAAAATTTAACCAAATTTTAGTAAGATTAAACCAATTTTTATTAAGATTGAACTATTTTTAAGTTTTTTTTCCCAAAAACCGATCCGAATCCGACACCTATCCGAACCGAAACCAAACCAATGACTCATAAAATCCGAACGGATAATAAATTCTCCTACCCAAATTTTCCGAATCCGAATATATCCGAACCGAAACCGAACCGAAAAATCATAAAATCCGAACGGATAATAAACTCTCATACCCGAATTATCCGAATCCGAATATATCCGATCCGAATCCGATTTGAAATCCGAATGCCCAGGCCTAGGTAGAACACCTATTGAGTTCTTTGACAATTTTTTATTATATAAGTTAAAGAGACTGTTTCTTATGGGTTCCAAAAGTCTCTCTTTTCAGAGAGTGTTCTATATTTAAAGAGACTCCATTCATTATTTTTATTATTTATAATGTTTAGAGACCCATCAAAAATCTCTCAAAAACTATCAATAATCATGGTCTTATGGGCCCCGGCCAAAAATAATAATTTTGGACCCTAAACATTTTTTTTATAGATATTCTTTTTTAATATATCTTTTATTAAAATAAGTTTGTTATAAAAACAAAAATATACACACAAATTTTTTTTTGGGCCTCTTTCTAATCTTATATTTAGTTTACTATATATTTTTTTTACAAAAAAAATTAAAAATTAAAAATGGACCCTTAATTACTAGGTCACGAGACGGAGCCCGGAGCGGTCGCACCTATTGTCCCCCCCTCCCCCCCTCTGAGCCGGCGCTAGATTTTCAATACCCTAGATTAGGGCTGGGCATTCGGGTATGCGGGTCGGGTTCGGGTAAAACCCAATCGGGTACGGGTCTTTCGGGTAGAGGAGTTTAGGACCCAATAGGGTAAATCTAAAATATCGGTTCGGTTTCGGTTCGGGTCCAATCGGGTTCGGGTCGGTTCGGGTTTAGATTTTCAGAACCGCTAAATACCTGAAAAAATCGGGTACCCTTCGGGTTCGGGTATTTTATACCCGATTATACCCAAATACCCAAAAATTTACCCAAATACCCAAAAATTTTACCCTAATATCCAAATTTTACACGAAATTTTACCCTAATATCCTAATTTTACCCAACATTTTATCCGAATAACCAGAATTTTATCCAAATATTCCAAAAATTTACAAGTATCTCGCATATAAATATATTTAGTCTTAAATATTTAAATATAAGTATATTTAGTTTTTGGTCATTATTCTCGGATATTTGGATATAAATGTATTTAGCTTGAATATTAGATATATATAAAGTTTTTATATGTATAATTATATATAATTTCGGGTAATCGGATACTCGTTCGGGTATCGGGTTCGGATCGGGTTACAAGACCCAATAGGGTAAATAGCTAATACC